CTATTCACTTTTCGTTTTTTTCCCGTCTGTCACTTTGTTGGCACAACCTCACTTTTCGTGTCCACTTTTGCATACACTCATGGTATATGATTTCTTAGAAATGTTTATTTTTACTTTTTTAGAAATACATGTTGTTAGTATATTTTCTTCCTTAGGGGTATGGATGCATACTTTTTTGAAATTTTTCTTTCTTTTGGGGGTATTTGTGTAATTACTATAAGTAATTATTTTTCATCTTAGGAACCATTTTGTAATTTAATTTGGAAGATATTTTAAAAAATGACCTTTTTGCAATTTAAGGAAAGTGTGACAAGTGTCACACTCCCATTGGTCTACTTGTTGATATTTGTATGGAGACACTTTGATGCCTTGGATGATGACATGTGGAGGGTGGAGATTTACCCACTTGTTGACCTAGGATAAGTGCACTTGTTGGCTTAGATGGTTGACTAATGTAGGCTTAGGATTAAGCTTACAATAGATGCTTGGATGAGTGACAAGTGTAGGTTCCAAATTTAGTCTTGCATTAGTGTGTATAAAAGAGGTAGTGTAAGAGCACATAGTGAGTGGATGATTTCACCAAAATTAGTTTAGGGTTTTCATTTTAGTTTCATTTCATCTCTTTCCTCTCAAATCTTAACCTAGCCACCATTGAAGGAAAAGCTTGGCTTATAGCTTTAAGTTTCATTTTGGTCCCCTTCCACTCACCTTTGACCATAAAGCTTGGAATACAAAAGCTTTGCCTCACATTTCTCTACATAATCCTAGAAGGGTTTATCATTTTAAGCTTACTTGCCTTGGATTCTAGAGAGACACTTCTCTAGTGAGGTAGGGGATGTCATAAGTTTATATTTGAGTTGTATTGATGATTTTAAAAGCTTATACAACTTGTATGCATGTCGTATATTAATTTGAGAAATTAATAATTAATTGTAGTTTGCATATAACTTACTTTAGACTTGGTATATGGCATGGCCATAACTTGATCTTTGTTATATATTAATTTATGACCATTTGGAGTTGCTTTAGAATCTAGAGATTTTATCATCACGATTTAATTAAATTCTACTTTATTGTTCCAATGACCTAATTAAGTTTTTGAATAGATATATGTAATGACCATGCTATATTGTTTAATATATATATATATTTGAGGTTATTTGAAATTGATTTGAAATCTAGAGAATTTAATTATTTTTATTAATTAAATTCTATCTAATTGCTCCATGGATTTAATTGTATTTTAGAAGTTGTTTTTATATTTAAATCATGGACTTGAATTTGTTGTATATTCACTTGGTTACGTTTTGAGTATTGGATAACATTGTTGTTATATTTATATTCATGAGAACATATTTTCTTTATTGAATATATTGTTGTCTTGTGTAATGAGTTGCACACTTTGTATTTGACATCTTTCATGCCATAGTAGTTGTGAACTTAGAGTATGTATTGTATGTATTTCCAAATTTGGTTGTGCATGGTAGATAGTTGATTATCTTGTCTATACATGTTGATATGTACGTTGTTACACAATTTGTTGATTTTGGGAAACTTGGGATGTCGTTGTTTGACTACGGCTAGGGCATGGTTCTAGTACGGGGGATTGTCCCCCTATAGTCTAGTGCGCACATAGGAAGGCTACCCGTGGGTTAGTAACCCTAAAGTAACCACCTTGTCAGTCTAATTCGGCATGATGTCTGAGTATCCACCTTGTTTGATTTCGCATTTTATTTCAAGTTGATAACTAGATGATGTTGTAACTTGTTGTTTCTCATTTGATTTCCCATTTTAAGTTTCAAGATGTTAACTTTGAGAATTCTTGTTTTATGCATTGTTTTGGAAGTTCCAATGTTGGTTGAATTACATCGATATTGTGATTTGTATTTTATTGTTCTAATGTAGCCTAGGACGATTCCTTAGACTCATTGGGAACATAGATGCTAGGTGGCATGAATCACTTTAGTTGATTTCGTATCTTAGATTTCAAGTTGATAATTTTGAGAATCTATATTGTGACGGCCCTGGTTTTTCAAGCCAGTGCGTCCTATGATGAACCGAAAGTTGATCCGATAACAGATCCAAATACGAAAGCAAGAAACAAGACAACGATCTCCCAAGGCACAACACACCTCTAAGACACTTTGATGACCTTCCATGAGGTTGCAGAACTCAATGAAAATTGACGCAGAAGCAAAAGATTGGAAAAATACCAATTAAGCCCCTAAGGGCAAAATAGTCATTTCTAAAATTATGGATTCAGGTGCCACCAAGCACACCGCTGGAAAGAAAACGAAAAACTAATCAAGATGGACTCAAGAATTGCATGATTCAGAGTCCGGATGAAGGAGAAATGGCAAAACGAAGAAAAACGAGCACTTAAGGCTAAAAGGGTAAACTGGTAATTATCTAGGAATATTCGGGTGCAACCGAGCACATCATTGAATAGACGACAAAAAATTAGTCAAGTTCAAAAATTTTTTTACTCGATTTGGAGTCTGAATGAGGGAGAAAGGTCAAAAACAAAAAACAATGTCGCGGCGGCTTGACGAGGGTCATGACAACTACAACTGAGAGTAAAAAAGGGGCATCTAAACGGACTTTTTTAGAAAAACTCAAAGAAGAAACCCCCCCTAAAATCAAGTTTTCTACCTGGAAATGTGGACGGAAATAAAAAAAAATGCATTGTGAAAAGCCCAGTATGCCCCCAAGAAAATCAGATCAAGAGGGCAAAAATCTTTCCGAGCTGCTGCCCAAGGAAAGGAAATGGGGCTTCAGGAGGTTTTTAAATTACCTAAATTGAAAATGCAATCTTAAAATATACCCACAAGACCCCCGGAAGTTTCGGATCTGTCGACACGTATTTTTTAAAAAAGTCGATGAATAGCAACAAGTACTAAAATCTCAAGTTTAAAGAAAATGGCATAAACCAGAAAAATGAACTTTGCGCGGGATTTCCTAGACCAAGACTTTTTCTAGAAACCACCCCCCCCCCCCCCCCCCCCCCCCCAAAATCAATTTTTCTACCCAGCAACGCGGACGAAAACAAAAGAAATACATACCCGAAATGCCCCTAGATCAGAAAAGGGTAAAAACTCAAGAAAATGCAACTTTAAGTTTTGTTTTTCATCAAGAATGGTGTTGTGTGCCAAAGTGAACATGCAAGCATACGTAATATGATAAAGTAGACGTACTACAATGGCCTACGGCCTCATGGCATATTGTATGCAAAATATGACCCTTCAATGCATGAAATCTCCTAACTTCTATAAGCAATAATGAAGTTAAAAATTAGCATACATATCACATAAGTGTTTTTGTCCCTTGGCCTCATTACATACACATCTAAGGAGTATCAAAAGGTGCACTTAAGTGCACATTACATGGCTTGAACAACAAATACATGTTTTGTCAAAATGAACCACAATAGAGCATGATATGCTAACAAGTGAATATTATAATATAACAAAAATACTCCAAGTAGTCAAGCAATCCTAAGAGTGATGTGCATCTCACAATAATGCTTCTTTACCTGAAAAACACCCGGTAACTTTGGGTGAGTAAACAAGTTTACTCGTAGGGAATGAGCATGCATAAATTTATCTTTACACAACTTTGCAATTTGATGTAAAACAATTCATAATGTTTAACCTATATTGGAACTTCCAACACAACGCAATAAGATGCAAACTCACAAAGTTATCAACTTGGAATTTAAAATGCGAAATCAAACCAAAGCGGATACTTAGACATCACGCTAGATCAGACTGACACCATAATTACTTTAGGGTTACTAGCCCATGGGTAACCTCCCTATGTGCGCACTAGACTTGTATAGGGACAATCCCCCGTACTAGAACTAAGCCTAAGCCTTAGTCATAACAACGACATCCCAAATTTCCAAAATCAACAATTTATGCTACAACGTATATATATAAGCATAAATATATATACACAATGTAAAACCATCTACCATGTACAAACCAATTTTGGAAACACAATACATGCCCTATGTTCACAACTACAATGGCATGAAGAATGTTGGATCATCATTATACAACTTGTTACATTCTAGAGCAATATTAACTCATATTAAGAATATAATCTCACAATTGGGATACAAGTTTAAAATCATGGTTTAAATGGGTAATCATCACAAAATACGTACTCAACTCATTAATACAACAAGGATGGAAATTAATTACACAAAATACCTAATTCCTCTAGATTTTCATTTCTCATCTAAATATGCTCAATTTAATATATGTTGAAAAACTTATCATGATCATTACATATATTCCTTCAAAACCTAATTTAAATCATGAAAATATATGAATACAAATTAATTAAATTAATTTATAAATTCCTCTAGATTTTCATTTCTCATCCAAACATGCTCAATTTAATATATGTTGAAGAACTTATCATGATCATTACATATATTCACTACAAGAAATTTGGGTTCTTGCTACAAGACACTTCGTGGCAAAAACTTTCAAATTTCGTGGCGAAAGTCTTTTAGCCACAAGAAATGGCTCGTGGCTCGGTCGTGGGCGTAGCCTCGTCACAGGATGTCAATAACCACGACTAAAAATTTACGTGGCTAAATGTGGACCTTTTGCCACAAATTTGAACTCGTAATAAAATACCTTCTATTGCCACGAACTATTTCGTCGCTAAATAAGAATACTTTCGTGGTAAGTAGCAATCCCGATTTAGGAATTAATCGTGACTAATTCAATCATTTTGCAACAAAAATATTTATCGTGGAAGCATAGGTCTTTTCCCACGGAATTTATTTGTGGCTATAAATTTAATTGCCCACAAATATATGTTGTGGCAAATACCCAAAATAGGCCACAAAGTTTATTCGTGGCCATAATTTTAATTACCCACGAATATATGTCGTGGCAACTATCCAAAATCGGCCACAAAGTTTATCTGTGGCTATTCTATTATTAATAAAATAAATTTTAATTTAATAACCAAAAACATATATTGCGGCAAATACCAAAAATAGGCCACCTATTTATCGTGGCACGATAAGAATTTTTGGCAAACATATAAATTATTAACATTTTAAACAAAAAATAATAATATCAAAAAAAAAAAAAAAAAATTATCACATCAACACGATTATGCAAACAAATAAATACTTGATATTGCATAAGTTACACCAACCAAAAAATATATTGTTTACAACATACATAATAAAGCCCATCGCATAAAAAAATGAGTCTTAGCATATAAAACAATTTCAACTCCAATAATTTGGACCAAAACAAGTTAATATTTTAAATAAAATGTTTCAAGATCTTAGACAAAAATGAGCTATAGACTCCTAAATAAAGGGTTCAAAGACCTAGACATACACTACTTAAACCATCTTAAACAAAAAGAGCTTGAAGTCTTGTAGCATGAGCCCATCCAAAAATCTGCAAGACAAACAATGATGATCTTTCCTCTACCTGCAACAACAATCAAACCACAAGAGACAAAAAGAGGAACCAAAAACAGAGAAAATAGAAGAAAGAAAATCCAAGTAACAGGATACAACTTGTGAATGCATTGCACTACAACCAGCCAAACACACAAGTTCATAGAGTTGGCACAACACACAATTTGCAAGGGAAAAAAATATTCAACTTTTTAAGCATAGAATGCATTGCCATGGACTACCATGTGGATTAAACATGATCAGTACAAAAACAGAGAAACACAAACAAAATTAAGCCATGGACCTAGAAAAAGCTAAGTAGAACTTGACAATTGAGACCATCGGTTAAACAAGTACACAATTTTTGAAACTTTCTTTTTTCCTCTATTTATTTATTTTTTAATGCAGCGATGAAGAAACACAGAAATGATAATGTTGCATGAGTACGTGATAAATAAAAAAGGCTTTCAAAAAGTTTACGTGGGATAACATTAACGCCAAATGAAACTTTTTTCATTTGTCATGAACATAGAGCTTTAATATTGACATCACAGTTTCTCCTGTATTCAGAAAGAGTTTCTACATTTACGAGATACAGAACAATTAGTCAAATTCATAACTAATATTATATCAACAAATGCACATGTTTGGCTAATCCTAGTGACGAATTTGGCTACACATGACTGCACATGCTGGAAATATAAAAACTTAAGTTAGACACTCTAAGATTTAGATTAAACTTACATAGTACTTAGTAGCTAATAATGTAAACTTTGACTCTCAACATCTCAAATAACCATTAGAATGCATTTTGTGTATGAGTATATCTAACGTAGTCTTAAAAAGAATGATTGTTAAAAAGAACAAGGTGGCTTATGAATCATGCTAAGCACAAACCCAGACCAATCTTCAGTCCAAACAATTGAGATACCTAGTAAAGAACAAAACAATTAATCTTATCTTAAGAAATCAAATTTCTATGGAATGGGATATTTCTTTTACAAACACTAATTGATTAGTATGATAAGGACAATAAACATAATTTACAAACTTCAAGGAGAAAGATGTAGTTGGTAGCTTGAAAAAATAAGAAAGGGGACTTGAAATCCAAATATCTGTACCATGTCAAGCTTAATAACATGTTTATAACAAATTTACGAAGTGACAATGTGACTCCTTATATAATTATATGCCATAAATTAATTTCATATGCAATAATCTTCTGTAAATATTTTTGGCATCTACATTCTAGATGTGAATACTTCTAACAGATCCTAACAACTTGAAAAGCTTCTCACATTAAATATTACCTAGCTTTAAAAAAAAATTGTCATCATGGCACTTCCAGTTCCATTCAGCCCACCTGCACATTAGAAATATTGCATATAATAGTTGTGAAGGTAATGTGACAAAGATTTCATAAAGTGAGCAAAGAGTAAAAGGATCACATGGATTTCTCCATCATTCAAGGAAACAACATAAAAGAACAATGGTTAGATAATTTGAAAATTAGATAAGTCGATGCATTTAGTTTCACAATAAAGTTTTGCAAATATTTGGAATCAGAAATTTAAAGGTATCCCATTTAACAATCTCAAATATTCCACTCTTTTAATCTTGTACAAACAGTTACCACCACGCACATGAGGTACAAAATATTGACTAACAACAAATTTACACCAGAAACTGGTAAGATCTCTGTTCAGTTTTCGGTAACAATATTTACTAGTAGATCTCCATCATCAAGAGAAAGCAGCAATGGAATATATAAAGGGTTAACAAGGATCATAAATGTATCAGCAAGTAACTAATCTCCAAAATTTTGGATCATCTGCATTTTTAAGGCACTTGCTTAGAATGATGGGCTGCCTTTCCATGCAATAAGAATGCTATTGGAGTAGTTCCATCAGAATAATGTGATATCACCACCACTTGTTTGTGAAAATACACAAAACCCTCAAAATATAACATTAACCAAGGAGGACGAGCCTCCCCGGACAATGAGCCTCCCAAAGCTTGCTTTACCAGTAAATTAAATTTAAGTTTCAAGGGTTTGCATACTGACCAAACTTTTGTGTGTGTACATATTTTATTTGGGGTAAGTATGTTGTACATAAAAAATTTCTTTCTAGGAGCCTCTTTTAATGTATGGGGAAAACTTTCATTACAAGTGGGTGAACACAAACATCATTAAGGTGAAAGCAAAATTGGAGAAACAAATTCAAACTAAGACTCATGAACTTAAGAGCATGTAAACTAATATTTTTAAACCATGTTAACAATAATTCTAAAACTAAGTTTTTGGAACAACTGAAGTAGTACTTTGATTTCAAAGTTATTTGAGTTCAAGTCTCTCTGTCCACGTTTATATTCATGTGTTGGATATACTTAATTTCTTAGCTGACTTAGAACGTTCTTTGACTTTTATCACACCAATTATATATATGTTTTTGGAAGAAAAGACATTGTTAAATATTTGGTTCTCTTGATTTGCAGGTTATTTAGTTCCCAATAATTAAAACAGTACTGGTGGGGGTATAAAGTATCATAAATCGATCCTCCCATGTATCTAAACAATGTCTATTATTAAGGAGAACATGCTAATATCATTCATCTAAATACCCGAACACGGCCTTGACAAACAAGAAAGTCAAACCAACCCACCAATGAAATGCCAAGCCTATAAGATATTGTTGGTGCCTCATGAATCCATACATAATTATTTTAATTTCAACCAACAATATTCTTATCAAAAGGGAGGAAGAGGAGGGGAACTTGAAAGACCATCCAAAGACAGAGACTTCTAATTCTATGATTTTTGTTTTCTTGAGAAAATTAGTTCATTGCCAGCTTTTAAAGACCAGAAACTTGGAACCGAGTACATGCTATGAATAGAAGAATTAAGTATGTGCAGCTCAAGAGGCAACAAACAAGCTTAAATGAAAAAAACTCACAATTCTGAATTTCGTCTAAATTACCCAATTAGGTTAAGAACTTATGCATAGATATTGAAACAGCCCATCCAGTTATTGGTGCTTCAGATATACCTCTTACAATTCATCACTATTACACTCCAACAATTTCCCTTATTTTTACCAATGTTAAATACTGAAAATATAGATCTTGCATGGATTCAAATTCAATAAATTTTGTTAATAAGCAAAATTATAAATAAAAAAGCTACTTAGTAAACCAAGTAAGATATTTAAAATATTCAACAAATTTTAAACAATTTAAACATTCTCATCTAAGATCAGCAACAAACAAAATAATGAAAAATCGGCAGTTAACATTAGAAATCAGAGTTACGAAAATTAAAAGAGATAACAATGGTAAACAAAAGCAGAGTACTAGACAATCAAAGATCAGATCTGGACATACCAGGTCTGGCTGTTGAAAAAATTGTGAGTGAAGCTAGCTAGGTTGAGTGAGAGATTCGATATTGAATCCTCTTCGGTCGTCAGTCTATGATTTTGGAGATTGATATGTGGAGAGGCAAGACATATTGAGAAGCGTCGATTCGTTCGTCGAAGCAGCCATTGAGAGGAAACAAGGTTTTTTTTTTCCCCCTCAAGATGAGGAGATAGAGAGAGAAGAAGAACGCTGGGTTCCGGCGGCCAAGATAGAGAAAAGGGGTAGAAATACCAATTACCAAAAGAAATGACGTCTCTGTCCAATAAATTCAGCGCGCGCTGAGGACACAAGTAGCGGGAAATTTAATTTTTTTTTAGCTTTTTGGAACAAAATATGGAGTTGTTAAAAAATAATAATAATAATTTTCTCAAATAAATAAATTTGTTTTTTTGCAGATGCCTCGATAGCCTGTGGGTTAGTATCTTCGGTGAATTATAGAAAGTCAAGTTTGACCCTCTGCATGTACTAATCTAATTTCTAACCCTTCTTACTTTGTAATAAAAAAATAAATCTGTTTTTTTTAATTTAATTAAAAATTTATTCATCTCTTTATAAAATACAATAGCAATTTTTACTTTACTTTTTTTAAAATTATCATTTAAAATTATCTTATTCTTTCTAACCCCTGCAATTGTTTTATTATAAATTAATTATTATGAGGCAATTTTAACGGGATAAAGTTGATGAGATATCAAACAAACGGTTTTTTTTACTTACCGTAGAACTATTTTTTTTTTTGCCAATTAATTATTCTAAACTCATGTACTCAGGAATCAATGATAAAGAAGCTCATGTGACCAGCAAAAGATCAATTAGAGTACATATACTTACATGTAATAGTAATTATAGTGTTTTAAAATATAAAATTAATCATTGTATCCAGCTCAGTAGTAAGTAATTAATTTTACTAAAATTATTGAAATCTCAATATTGATTCAAAGTGATTAATTAATATGTAATTGAATAGTATATTAATCAATAATTTCATGATTTATATATACATGCATATCTGTGTATCACGTAAGAATAATATATTAATCAATCTCAAAAGACATATATATATATAATTATCTTGATTTACCGATCAATGTGACTAATTAATATATAATCGGTTGAAAATTTGGAGTGAATGGAACTTGTTAATTAAGGAGTTTGTAACTGGAGTGGTGCCATCATAGCTTTTGCGACATAAATAACCCATGAATCTGGTTATTTATATAGAGTGTTTCTGTAATACAGAGTTTCCAAATTACAACGAATTCTTGACATGTGATTAAACGTGGTTGAGGATGGGTTGAAAAGTAAGGATAGCATTATTAAGACTTAAAGTTACGTTGAATCATGACCATATTTGTGAGTTTAGGTTATAAACGTTGACAGAACATAACGTTGTTGACAGTTGGTAATCCGTTGAAATGTTGGTGAATAAATGATGAAATGATATGTTTATGAATCATGTTTATTCAAACCAAAAATTGCATTGTTTCCAAACAGACACTTCCATACACCAAGAGGCATCCCAAACAGACACACCCTTACACCAAGAGACATCTCTAAGTCTTTAAATACCTCTGGGCTGCCATAATTCAATCGTTCATTTTTTCATTCCGTCTCTCTCTTTCTCAACATGAACCCAACCCAAGTGGCTGTGGGTTCAAGCCATATGGTCAAATGGTTCGAATAATTAGACCAAACATCTATAGTAATGAGTCATATTGCAATTGGATCGAGCCAAATGGTTCAAATCGAATCCAATTCATTCTTTATGTAGGAGAGATACATTTTTGAGTCAGAGAGAGAGTATTACACAGAGGAGGTTCGCCGTTTTCACGAGTTTGTAGTGCTACTACTGGTGGATGTAAACCGTTATATCTTGAGAGACAAACGCCACAGAGTCCGTCAGCACCATGCGGGGCGTAAATTGTCCTAAAGACATAGTTTCCAATACTAGCCTCGGTTCAAGTTCTTTATTTATTATTATTATTTTATTACTTTAATTTACATGTTTAATTACATAAGAAGTTGAATATTTAATTAATTATTTTTTAGCATATTATTAATTATCTCATGACATATTAGTATAAGGTTAGTTATATCTTAAATGTAATTTGAAGAATATAATTTCCAATATAATCTAATAGTTCGAAAAATATTTTTATGATTTATATATATGTGCATAGGCATGTTTGTAATTTTATGTGTGATTAATATAGCATTTGAGGGAAAATTATTAATTAAAAATAACTTGGATCAAAGAATGTTTCGAGACCTTAAAGGAGAACTTATTATAACTATATATATATATATATATATATATATATATCATTAAATTTTATCTTTTACAATATCCATAGAGCAAATATTGTGTAATTTTCTCTTTTTGTTTGGTTGGATGTAAGAGAAGAGAATAAGCTCACGGATCAGTTCGGTTCAGTTTGGGGGTAAAGTTCAATCCAATTTGGTCCCCACAGATTGGTTAAATTTAAAACCGAACCGATCCGTGGGGACTTTCAATCCGAACCAAGCCAATCCGTGAAATAACGGATTGGATCGGTTCGGTTCCCACAGATTGGGTTTTTCAAACCTTGGAACATTAGTATCTTCTACAGTTGTCATTTGCCAAGAACAGAAATTGTTACATCAAATTTAGCTACTAAAAATCCACGAAAAAATCTTGTGAACTCACCGAAAAAGAGGTCGATCCAGCCAAAGGGGTCACTGTTGCTTCAATACGCAGAGGTCGTAGTTGTTTTGATGTATTGTAGGGTGAACGATGGATTGAGAGGTGCTGGATTGAGAGGCGAGAGATTAGGAGGCAAGAGGAGGAAGAGAGAAGTGAAGAGTGAAGACTGCGAAGCTGAGGAGTGAGGCGCGCAACACCTGTAATGGCTATAAATTCTAATGACTAATGAGATAACTAGTGACCAAGGGTTAACTTAAATAATGAATAAAAACAAAAAATAGAAATATAGTAATAAATGAAAATAAGTATATATATAATATATTAATATATAATTTAGGTAACGGATCGGTTCGGTTCAGTTAACGGATTGTATCAATTTTTTCAGGGCCGAATCTGTTAACCGAACCACGAATAACAGATTGCTATTTTTCTAAACCATCACCGAAGCATAAGATATGAAAATTGAACCAAACCACACGGATCGGATTGGTTCGGACCGAATTATTTGAATATCCTTAGGTATACCTTAGAAGAATAATTATTTGTTACCTTGAAACATATTGGCAGATCATTTAATTGGAATGATCGAGTAAACTGGACAATATGAATTTATCTTATAAAGAAAAAATTATGTTAAATTAATTACCTCTAAATAAGTTTATCTTTCCCTATAAGATACAATATTTTTATATTATATTAAAACAATTGCTAGGTAAACTAATAAAGAAACGTGGGAAAAATTATCTAAGATTGGCCATTAATAATATATGTAAACTTATATCAATTTTCATCTTTAATTAGATTTTTTTTATATAAGAAAAAATATATATTAAAGCAATTGAATATAAATAAGTTTATCGTTCAGTATAAGCTATAATATTTTATATATATCAAAATATTTGTAACAAATAAATTTCTTTACACTTTTCTCATATAAAAATTAAAATAAACATAATTATTTTATATTAAAATTTCACAGCACAAGAAAATTATGACTACAAACAATGAGATTTTTGCCAAATGAATAACATCGTTGTCACGAAAATAGTTACGTGGTAAAAGATCACACAATAGCCACAACTAAAAATTCGTGGCAAAATATGTCTTTTAGCCACAAGACAGAATATTTGTGGTAAAATAACATTTTTCGCCACAAAAATAATATCGTTGCAAATTACAAATAGATTTGCCACGAAAATAGTTATGTGGCAAAATAGCATACAATAGCCACATCTAAAAATTCGTGGCAGAATAAATCATTTAGCCACGAGACAAAAAATTCGTAGCAAAATAACATTTTTCGCCACAAGAGTAACATCGTTGCGAATTACTAATAGATTTGCCATGAAAATAGTTACGTGGCAAAAGAGCATACAATAGCCACGACTGAAAATTCCTGGCAAAAACAACATTTCGCCACGACTTTGTATGTCATCCCTAATTTATCGTGGCAAAATTGATAATTAGCCACAATTTTTTAGGTCTTTCGTAAAATTCGTCGCAAAAGCCTAATATTTGCCACGAAAAATTTGCTCCATGGAAAATACCAATATTTAGCCATAAGAATTTAATTTTGTGGCAAAAACACTACTTTTTGCCACGAAATTTTACGCGTGGCAAAAAATTTCGTGGCAAGAGCCCAAATTTGTTGTAGTGATTCCTTCAAAACCTAATTTAATTCATGGAAACATATGAATAAAAATTAATTACATTAATTTATATATTCCTATAGATTTCAAAACAACCCAAAATGACCTCAAGTTAATATATGTTATGAATCAAGTCATGGCCTTTCCAAAAATCATGTCTTAGCCTAACTTCATGCAAGGTACCCTTAGCTATTAACTTAAAAATTTAGATTTAAGACATGTATTTGATTTATACCAAGTCATAAAGCATATAAAACATCAAAAATATAAACTAGAACACCCCCTACCTCATAAGAGGATTGTTCCTCTTGAATCCAAGGCAAATCAACACAAAATGACAAACCTTTCAAGGGTTATGTAGAGGAGGATGAGAGGAAACAGAAGTATTCCAAGCTTAAAAGTCTTGGGTGAGTGGAAGGAGGCCAAAAATGAAGTCAAAGCCTTGAGTCAAGCTTTTCCTTCCATAGAGGCTAGGTTAGGGTTTGAGAACAAAGTGGTGAGGAAGATGAATTAAAATGTGGTGAGTGGAGGATTTAGTATTCCTCCACTCACTATGTGAGTCTACACCATGGTCTTCACACATACATAGTGTAAGACTTAAAATGAACCTTACACTTGTCATTAATCTAAGGCTCATTCCTAGGCTTAATCCTAAGCCTACACTTGTCAACCATTCAAGCCAACAAGTGGTCAAATTCTAGGCCAACAAGTGGGTGAATCCCCACCCTCTATATGTTACAAGATTAAGTTTCCAAGTGGTTCCACCAAAATGTCAACAAATGGTTCCATAGGAGTGTGACACTTGTCACACTTTTCAAAATTACAAAAAGGTCCTTTTCCAAAATATCTTCTAAATTAAATTACAAAATGGTCCCTAAGACGAAAAATAATTACTTTAATTAATTACACTAAAACCCCATAAGTTAAGAATATTACAAAAAAGTTATGCGTTTATACCCTTTACAAGAAAAGTAAACACTTAGCATGCTTTTCTACAAAAATAAAAATGTAGATATCATGGAAATTAAATATCATGGATGTATGCAAAGTCGGAATAAAATCTGAGCACAAAAAGTGAGGATATGCAAGGAAAAATGGAAATTGAAAAAAAGACAAAATAGGGAAAAAGACGAAAAAAAGAAATTACCAAAAAAAAAAAGAAAGGAAGAAAAATGACCGAGTCATTACATATATCTTGTTGTATTATATAGTATGCTTCTATATTGTTTAATTGCATAAATATTGTTGTTTATGCTAGAAATGCTTTAAAGTAGCTTAGGATGATCCTTGAGTCTCACTTAAGACCTAGACGTTAGGTAGCATGATCCTTTTGAATTGTTTCATGTTAACGTGAAAACCTTGTAAAAAGTTAGGTCTATGCATGCTCATTTCCTACGAGTAACTTGTTTACTTACCCCAAAGTTACCGGGTTGTTTTCAGGTACGGATGCCTTGGTTTAGGATGCGCAACATCCTTAGGTCGTTTTGATGGATTAAAGTTCTATTAAGTGCATTCTTGTTTACATGCAAGTGTTAGCATGTTTGATTTTCGCTCTTAAAGTTGTGATACATAGTTAGGACAAAAATGTCATTTTTACCTTGAAACTTGTAATGTGTGCCTAAGGACATTTTTTTATACTCATTCTATGTTTACGATATATGGTTAAGGGCCAAACTTCATTTGAAATTCTTGTATATCCAAAAATGTTGAGTTTTGCCTTTAATGAGAAAAGTATGAAAAGTAAGGTTTTAATTTGTCATTTTTGCACCGGAGTGTGCATTGTGTATGAAATTCATCATTTGGCATTCATTTACCATATATGAGGTGTGGCCAAGGGCCAAACACCATTTTGTTTTAGGTTTTACATCTTGGTTCCATATATTGCATTTTTGGGCTAAAATAGGAAAATCCGAGCCTTTAAGGGTTTATTTTCAAATCGGATGGCGTATAGTATGTTCCGGCACATCCACTAGGACTCATTTATTATGCATGAAGTGTGGGCCAAACGGTCTTTTGATTGCACTTAGGTACGGTTCTCGCAATTTTTGTCTTTAAAGGGCAATTTTTCTGCATTGGGGTTTAGATAGGTCAAATTTTGCATCAGCGGTATTTTTAAGCTGTGGGTCATTGTAGCACATCCTAATAGGTAAGTTACGTCTACATGCATGATCGTTTCTGGGCAAAACCCTTTCCTTGGTGATTTGAGCCTCCTATGGGCTCATTTTTGCACTATTCATGCCAAAAACCATGAATAGGGGCATTTTGGGGTTTTCACATGTAAAATAAAAACTTCTTTCAACATGGTCATATAGAAAACATGATTTCAGGGGGGTTACTTCATAACTTTTTTTTTTTTTTTTTTTTTTTTTTTTCCAAAAAGTGTCATTTAAGGCTTCAAAATTGCATTTCAAGTTAGCATTTCTGGTGTAGCCTACAGCGGATGAGCGCTCCAAGGGGCGGATGAGCGCTCCAATTTTAGGCAGTAAGCTCGGGCGAATTACGAGTGCTCGAAGCCCTTGGACGAGCGCTCGTAGTACTGTTCATGGGTTGACTCAACTTTGACTTTTTGACTTCAAATTGTTGTATCTCCTTCGTTTTAACTCCGAATTGGTCTGTTCTTGAGTCTAAATTGACCACGTCGAAATAAGCTTTCCAATGGTACTAATTAAAACTTTAGATTCTACTTGTAGCTCAGGATATTCAAGTTTTAGTAAGGTAGTGTCAGAATTTGGTTCAAACCGGGATGGGGTTTCCTTTCCTTCGACTTCAGGACTTGATATCTTTGCCGTCCGCACTTCGAATCAAGTGATTCTTGAGTCTATCCTTGTTAGTTTTTCATTGTCTTTCAAACGGTGTGCATGGTGGTACCCATTTCAATTTGGAATGACCATTTTGCCGTTGGTCCATTCCTTGGAGGGTTTTAAAACTCTAGCTTCGGTCTTACTTCCGCTAAGTCACGGGACTCCTCGGAAGGCCGTTCTTGTGTCTTAGGGATGACGTACATCTTTATAGACTTGTTCATGTTTAGCTTCCGCATTTTGATACGTTTCGGATCATCATAGGACACTCTGGGTTTGTGAAATCCAGGGTCGTCACACTTTCAGATATTTTTTTCTTCACCCATCAAGTTCATCATCCTTTCAGACCGAAATAGATCATCTAATATAAGGATTTAATGAGGAAAAAAAAAGGTTTGGTGTGGAGAGGTCAAATCTCAGGTTGATTGGCGGTGAAGGTTGTGGATGTAGTTTATGCCACGTCATCAAAAATCAAATTAAGCGAACATCACATTAGTGCCAGCTTCGAAAAAGATAACAAGAAGACAAAAGGGCCAACACTTGGTCAATAGGCCTGGAACCTCGATCTGGCAGAGCCACAAACTGTCGATCGACGGGCCTTGAACCTTGATCCAACCAAGCCACAAATTACCGATCGACGGGCCTTAAACCTCAATCTGGCCAAGCCACAAACTGTCGATCCGCGGGCCTTAAAACTTGATCCGACCAAGTCATAAACTATCGATCGATGGGCCTTGAACTTTGATCTGGCTAAGCCACAAACTACCAATCGACGGACCTTGAACCTTGATTCGGCCAAGCCACAAACTGCCAATCGACGGGCTTTGAACCTCGATCCGGCCAAGCCATAAACTGTGGATCGACGGGCCTTGAACCTCGATCTGACCAAGCCACAAACTATCAATCGATGGGCCTTGAACCTTGATCTGACCAAGCCACATTCTGTCAAAGAAAATGAACAGCGAAGAATAATAGTAGGACTCTTCGAGGCCAGTGGGAATGCAGAAGGGACCTTGGAATAAAGGATGGAAAACTAGCTAAGTCTTGCTAAGGCAAGACCCAATTTGAGGAGAAAAAGCGAAAGACAGGCTGGAGTAAGTATAGAGACCTTTACACCTACCCTTTATTTAGGTCATTCAAGGAGATACGTACACCTAGCAACATAATCGAAAAAATAGGGATTAGGGCATCATGATCCATAAAGGAACATGGGCCCTGACTCACCTTATCCAGAGGTCCAACATATATAACCTGAATGACCTAGGGCTATAAAAAGGTGGCAAAGGCAAAAAGGATAAAGACGCATAAAGAATTTGGGCTCTGATAACACTCCAAACTTCGTCTTCTCTACCATTATTTCAGTCCTCAAATTAGACTAGTTTTCTCTCATTCAATCCACTATTTTGTATTCCTCATATTGTTTTAGTGGTATTTCCCAGATATTATCATTTTTTAGCTTGACTTAAAAATAGGTACATACATTTGGTGACTCCGCTGGGGATATCCTAATAAGAAAATGAATCCAGACGAGGTACACCTTCCACCGGGCCATTGGAGCTACCAGCGCCATATCTCATTCATCGGCAAGGTCAAAGCACAGAACCAACACAGGCGCCATCTTAGAAGCAATGCAGAGCATCAATACCCAGTTGATGACTCGAATGGAGATTTAAGGAGGCCCTCCATGCTCTCGACAAAAGAATCCCAGCTACACCAGCTGCAGTTGACCTAGAGCTCGCTCCAGCTAACCAAACAACACCCACTATTGTTAAACTAGCCTGCATAAACGCACCCACACCGTGCGAGTAGCCACCCATCATTCAATCACCAATGAACCAGGTTCACAGCACAGATCTGCTCTTACAATGTACCCCGGAGCCCTATAACCCAATGGCAAGGAGCCTATGTTCCAATCCCCACCCGCCTACGCCCAAGCTAACCCTAAGTAACACCTCACGTTTCCCTCTCATTCATACAATGCTCCAAAGGAAATGTTTACACGATCTGAGGTGCGAGATCTGTTCAAGAAGAGCACTCCAACCTCCCGGCTCTAGATTTTGGCAGCGAACCCCTTATCCTCGAGCAATAGCACAGACGCCATACCCTTATGGGTATTTAGTCCCAAAGTTCCCACAATTCAACAGCAAGTCCGGCAACCCATGAGAGCATGTTATGCGTTTTGTTGAAGCTTTGGGCCATTTTGGTGACAACCATCTGGTCTAGATGAGGTAATTCTCTAAGTCCCTTACTGATCGTGCATACCGTTGGCTTTCAACCTTGAGCCTGACTCTATCAGTACTTGGGAGTAGTTCAATGATTATTTCCTCACTAAGTTCTTCCACGCTGAAGAGCGTGTCACCACTCTCTCTCTTACCAAGGAGGCTCAAGAGGATAACGAAGATGTCCTTACCTTCATTAGCAAATTCTGTGATCACGCTGGCAAATGTTTTAAAAGCAACAATAAAATGGACCTAGTAGATAATTGCATCCAAGGCATGTTGCAGGTCTACAAACTCTATTTGGTTAATCTACGAATCTCAAGCTTCGGTGAGCTCAAGATCGTAGCTAGGAATCTTAAGGATCTCAGGCCAGTTCCTTCTGTTAAGTATAAGGCTCCAAAGGTTTCCAATCGAAGGCCAGTGCCCATAGTCGTCATTGAGGAGCGACCTCGAAAGAGGTTCGACAAGGCTCCCCAACCCAAGCCAACAGGAGAAGAGCCACTACCTTTCCCCATTCAAATTGAAAAAGTCAGGAACATACTCCACTAGTGGGTTAAGGACGACACTGTTGTACTCCTAACCGCACATCGAGAGCCCACCTCAGCAGATAGAGCCAGAAATGATTTATGCATCTATTACCAAAGTAACACTTATCCCACCATCAGCTACTAGGGCCTGCATAGAACATTTTAACAACGGATGGCAATGGCCAACCTTGGGGTTGCCCCTCCCAAAGATGTTCACAGATACCTCTACCCCAATCATTAGGCAGTAGACATTCTTGCTATGATGAACTCGAGGAGACAAATCCAGGCCATAGTGCAGAGCCATCTAGCCTAGAGGCGAGCCCATGCTTTGTTGCAGCCGCAGCCAAACCCATGCCGGTTGGCACGAAGAAGGTTCTCTCCTTCACAGATGCAGATAAACAAATCCAGGTAGGCCACTGTATGTTCTGGCCTCGATCAAAGGGGTTGAATTCAAGAGCGCATTCCTCGACAACGGCTCATCCATCAACGTCATTCCTCTCTCCACTTTTCACAAGGTAAGCATCCAAGAGGACCGTTTGGTTAAGGAGCCAATTGAGGTAGCAGGGTTCGGTAATAACCTTTGTCACACTATGGGGTATGTCAACATCGATCTTGCAGTTAACAAATTCCAAGCCTTCACCAAAGTCCATGTCATCGATAGTGATACATCCTATCACATCCTGTTAGGGCGTGTGTGGATGCACCATTTTGGAATCATGCCATCCACCTACCACCAATGCTTCAAGGGAATCTGGAACAATAAGGTCGTCACAGTGCCATATTCAGACCATCATTTCGCCACATTCGAAGCCCACTACACCGATGCATTGTTCTTCAATGAGCTTGATGAGTATACACAAAGTTGTGAGGCTACTATCATTAGCACCCCTTTGCTAACTTGGGCTGACGCCCAGAGAGGTATTTTCTCCTCACCATCTCAAGTCCAGACTAGTACTGCCCCATGTGAGTGCAAAAGAGTTCGTCTCCCCAATGGCTGGGTTATTTACCGTTTATGACAATGCCCAGGGTCAGCAAAAGTTCATTCTACTGGCCCTCTCGGGTATCAGCCCTAGATTGTTGAGAAGACGCCCTCAGTGGATCTTATCGAAGTCAATCTGGCCCATCCTAATGGCAGCCTCGCACCACCTTCCTCGCCAATACACTTACTCCCTGGGCTCGTAATCAGCTCATTTCCCTCTTACAGGAGTATCGTGACATCTTTGCCTCGACATACAACGAAATGCCAGGCCTTCATCTGTAATACCCCTAATTTAAAAAGGATAGTCTTGGGATTTATTTATTTATTTTATTGCATTTTTATTTGATTATTTGATTTATGTGGTTAATTGTTTATGTGGTAATTTAAATTAATTATTTATTTTAATTGCATGATTACATGGTGTTTTAATTAAATTATTAATTGACTTGCTTGCTTAAACCACACATTGTACTCAATGTGCAATGAGAACAATTGAAAAGATGGAAAGAATATATCGTGGTGGAAAAGACATGAAGCCTGTAGTGATCCATTGGGAAAGAGTGCACCCCCAAACTTGGAATCAACAACCTACTTGAATAACTACACTAGCAAACTCACATCAAATATCAAATGGGATAAGATAAGTAAATAAAGCATTCTAAGGCAATAGATCAAGCCCAATAGAAAATAAGAAAATAGCATGACTACACATAAGGGTACAATAATGAATTTTTTTATATTTTTCATTTAATGAAAGCAAGTATATACAAAATGTAATAAAATCAAAGAATAAAATGCATGAACAAAATACAAAAAGAAAAATAAAGAAGGAAACATGCAATGAAAGAATATGTACAATGCAAGAAATGAAAAAACAAAAAAGTAAGAAAGGCTGCAAGAACAAAATAATAAAAAATAAAAATAAAAACTTTTTATTTTATTTTTTTTATTTTTTTGACATATTAAGTATGTACACACACACACACAAAAATAAAACATATAAACATGCAAGGATTGAAAATGCAAGGAAATAAGGACTGCAAAAATATATATATATATTTTATGAACAGCACTCGATCGATCGAAAAACTTGTAGAATGATGCCCTGGGAACAAAAATTTACGATGCAATTCTGATCGATCGAAATTATTTTCAATCGATTGAGACCACTTTCGATCGATCGGAAGAAGCATCGATCGATCGAAAAAGTTTTCGATCGATCGAACTAGGCGCTGCCTGGGTACACAATGCTGATTTTTGAAAAAAATTCAAAGGCAAAAATTTTTCTAAGGCCCCAAAATGCATGAATATGGTCTAAAGACTTGATTTTTGACAATGAAGTGCAATGGAACATATCTAGACGATGCAAGAAATGAAAGATAAAAAGAAATGGGAAGGAATAGAGTTGTGAAACTCTACGAATGCTAGTGTTTAACGTCTCTAGCAAGACGTTGGGTCGACTCACTAGTAGAACGAATCAAAAACTGGATATGAAACATCTTTATTGATAATCTTTTCTATTTTCTCATTTAATGTTTCACTTACAACAATATACACATCCTCCAAAAGAATGACTTGAAAAGAAATTATGAAAGATGCAATTTGTTTCCTTTCATCCACTGTCTTAAAAATAAAATCAATGATGAGCGACCTTGCCTCAATTTTGTGCTCTCGAAGTGTATTCAAAGAATCACTTCCTTTATGAATTGGCAAGGCGATGTCTTTCAAAGACTCAATTGGAATATCAAGATACACTTTCTCTTCATCCTTTTTCTCTTCCTCAAAACTCACCATCTCCTCACCTTCTAAGTTAGCTAAAGAGTCCATTAGAGAGTTTACTTCATTTTTGGAGCTTTCAAAGTCAAAACCACAATTTTTATACATTTCAAAAAACATGTCTCAAGAGGGTCATTGAAGATAATAGAAGGAAGGTTCTCTTCAACAAGTTCCTTCTCCGTTTCTCCTACCTCTATAGTGGTCAACATCTCCTCACTCTCTAAAGTATCAAAGGCCGGAATCAAATCATGATCAAAATAAGGAAAATCCTTATAAGTCATGTTGTGCTCTATTGGGCTAGCCATTGGTGGACTTATTAACTCCTCAAATTGCTCACTTGCTACTTCTTCCTCTTCACTCTCATCATCCTCATTTATATAAATTGAAGTTCTTGCTATTTTTTCATTTGCCTATTCCTTCTCCTCTTGACGAGAAAGAGTACTTGCAATTTGCTCAACTTAAGCTTCAAGCTTGGCTAAGATTTGAGAATGTGTAAGAATAAGTTGAGTTTGTGAAATATGCACATCAAGTAAAGCTAACACTTTTTCTTGAAACTCGGGTGAATAAGGTGATGGAGGTTGTTCTTCATAAAATGGTGGGGGAGGGCGATAGTCACAATGAGGATTAAAAGAGTGCTCAAGTCCATAATAAAATAATGCATGTTGAATATCGGACTCAATCTTATAAGGATTAAAATATGATGGAGAAGTATAAGGTGAAGGGATGTAATTTCCCCCCAAATTTGGATTAAATAATTCCTCCATTTACACTCAAAATCCAAATGCAAGAAAATATTGGCTTCTACACGGGCCGATGCTTGGAAAAAAATTTAAGTAATATAATGAGCCTCAACAAAGGCTATCACAAGCATGCAACAAAGTGCACAATTAATGTAATGACCCGAATTTTCACGGATATTTTTTTTCCGTTATCTTTCCTTTCTGAGTTCAGTTCCTCTTCGCTTAGTATCGTCTCGAGTGCTCTGGAGTAATTTTCGAGACTCTTTTATGTGGATTGACAACTTCCTTTGAGGACCGAGTCGTTTCCAAATTTCGTTTTTTGACACTATTCACTTTTCGTCCTTTTCCCTATTTTGTCTTTTCCCCGTTTGACACTTTGTTGGCGTAACCACACTTCTTATGTTCGGAGTTGGTTTTTGACTTCATGTATCTCTATCTTGAGTGGTTTTCACGAAATACGTATCTTTACTTTTGCAAGAAAGTACTCTGGTTGCTCCCGGTGTCCATAAGGGTATGGATGCAAAGTTCTTTGAAATTATTTTCTTTTCTTGGGGTGTTTTTCGTAAATATATTTTG